ACTGTCATAAAACGCGTCCTTCACGTCATCGGATTTATCGTTGGTTGGCGCATAGATGTTGATCAGGCTGTAGTTGAAGAATTTGCCCCGAATCCTTAATACACAGATGCGGTCGCTTACCGGTCTCCACCGCATAACACGCTTCATCTGCTTCCCGATCACTATGAACCCTACTCCATGTTCTGCCCTATCGCCACCGCTGTGATAGATATGATACTTGAAGGAAGTGTTGGCGATGGGATCCACCGCCCGGAATTCACGTTCTCCGGATCTAGGCCACCGTACTTCCTGAATAGCAGCTACGCTCACATTCACTTTTTGCAGTTCACGAGCCAAAAGGCCCGCTCGTCCAGGTTCATTTAAGGTTCTGACATTCCAAGTACCGAGTTTCCATTCATTGTCCTTATTTCGTTGCCGGGTCGGTTGCCGAAAATTCCGTTCGTTGTTTTCTCTTTCTTCGTTTTTCTGAGTAATGTTGGGGGTTTCAGTATGCTACCTTACCGGGGTCGCGATACCTACATCATGTTGGTGGGGCTGCCACCTTAGGTGTAGCTGACGTGATGCAGCATTTCTTATTCAGCCGCTCGCTCCGATACAGACGCTGTTTGAGCCGCACCTCCATGGTGAACAGACGCTCGAGGGTCGCACCTCCTCACTTTGCTATCACCACGATCCGGATCCATGTTTTTATCGTGGTGACATTGCCCAGGCTACGCTACCAGCATCTTTTGCTGGCGGTCTTTGTCATCGGCTGACCCGTGGAAGCGTGAGGTAGGAACTTGTGAGGACCAGAGCTGTTGGGACAACACTCCTTCCAGTTTGTCGACTCACCATTTGTAGCCCAGAGGAATGTTTCAATAACTTGTGTTAAAATTCAAAACCCGGAAATTTTAGGAAAGTCCAGCGAACTCCAGTGAACTTAAGGAAACATCATACATATTTTGGATACTTCACAAGTTCAAAGAACTTCTGTAAAATGTAAAGATTTTCAGGACAGTGTAGTTTCATGAGAATTGAGAGAACTTTAGGAAGCTCCGAGAACATCAGGACAGATTATTAAATTTAAAGGAAATCGTTGAAATTTTAAAAGAGTTCCGAGAAACTCAGACAATTCCCGAAAACTTTAGCAGGGGTTCCGGGGGGCACATGCAAATTTAAGAAACGTAAGTTACATGAACATTAGCACATTGTGAGAACATTTTATGGGAAGTTCCGTGCTTATTTATGGCAGTGTCGATAACTTTTAAAAATAAGAAAAAATCGGGAAGATCAGTGAACTTCAATGCTGATGTTACAATAAATTCAAGAAAATTGCGAGAGTGCCTAAGAAATTTCTTAATCTTCAAGAAAGTCTAGAGACCTTCAAAGTTTTTTAGAGATATTCCGGTAGTCTACTACTCCAAAACAGCCTTAGGAAAATTACAAGAACTTTTCAGGAATTCCGAGGAAATATGGAATATTTCTAACTACATTTCAGAAATGTTCCAAAAACTTCAGGGACATTGCGGGGTCTTCAGGGATGTTTTATGACCATTTGGAAAATTTTCTGGATCATTAGAACATCCCCCAAGAGCTCTTTCATCCGGAGTTATGTCCTTGTTTCTTTCGACTTCCTCCAGAATTTTTTTTTTTTTTCCTAATCTACCTTAGGAAGTTTCTGCCAGTGTCTCGAAGAAGTTTCTTCCGTCTTCTCCAGGAAGTTCAATTAAACTTCTCGCAGAAATTTCTTTCGTCTAGTTCTGGAATTTTGTCCAGTTGTTTTTTTTTTATGACTTCTATTGGAAGGTTTTTCCGAGAAATGGCTACTGCTGGAATTTATTTCAGATTTCCGAAACTCCTCTGCCTTCCTTTGAATATGAAATCTGATTTTATTGTGAAAGTTTCTTTAAATTTTGGCCAGAAGTTTCTCAATTGGAAGTTCCGCGGAATGTTTTCCGACTTCTCTCAGAACTTTCCTCATATTTCCTCCAGGAGAGCTTCTTTCTCTGGATGTTGATTTCAGCTTCCTCCAGAAGCTTACTCAAACATTCCCCGGAGTTTTCTTCCAGAATTTTCCGATCATAGTCCAAAAGTTAAAATTTTCGCGAACGGCAAAAATATAAAATTAATAATACCGATAAATACCGATTTTTTTAAACCTTTGATACCGATAAGCTTAAAAACATTCTGGCAACGCTGATCCGCTGTACCGTCGGCGATGAATTGATGACAATGGGAAAACAGCGATTGTGAAGGTAAACCGTCAGAACATCGAGGTTGACAATCATTGGATAGTGTCATATTCACCATTATTATCCAAAACATTCGAAGCACACATCAACGTAGAATATTGTAATTCTGTGAAATCCATCAAATATATCTGTAAATATGCCAATAAGGGAAGAGATATGGCTATTTTCGGTGTGGCTGCGGAGAATACGAACGACGAAGTGACACAATACCAAATGGGGCGTTATGTTAGTAGTAATGAGGCGATTTAGAGACTTTTCTCATTTGAAATCCACGAAAGACATCAGACTGTAGTTCATTTGGCCATTGATCTCGAAAATGGTCAACGTGTGTATTTCACAGCGCGTAACGCAACGGAAAGAGCAGCTCGACCATTGACAAGTTTCGTTAGTATATGTAAAACTGATCCATTTGCCCGAACACTACTCTATGCTGAAGTACTACGCTACTATACTTGGAATCAATCTATGAAAACGTTTCAACGGCGCAAACAAGGAACTCCTGTCGAGGGTCACCCCAATATATTTTCAACGGATGCTTTAGGACGCATTTATACCAACAATCAATACGAAAGTAACGATTTTAAATTGGCTCACTACTTGACTAGCCTATTGGTCCCAAGCAAACGATTAACGCATCCCATTCTAGTCGAAATTCTAGTACTACACAATGTTTGTTTTGATTCGCTATGAAAGTTTGACAGATAAAATGAGGGGTTATTGGTTTTTCCTATGTTTCGAGGTGTGAATCGATTAGCTTGGGACCGAAGAGAGTACCAAAGCTGAGCCAAAAAGTTGAGCACGTTATTTCGGGACCTTCTAGTCTTAGAATTACCTCTATGTTCATACCGTGCATGCAGCAAGCAACGATTTTTTTTTCCTTGATTTGTTTTCCGTCGATCTTGTTTTCCGTGCTGAGAACCAATGCTACCGACGCCAGGAAGGCAGCTCCCACACCTGCACCCTACTTATCGACCCATCAACTCATGAACCGGGGACCAACGGCTTTACTTCCCTTCCCGAAGAAAGGCGTGATCAATGCAAGCAACGATGAATGCTTCTATTTGAGATTGCTGTTAGTGAACGTGCGTGAACCAAAATTATTTCAGGCTTTGCGAACTGTCGATGGACAGTTGTGTGCAACTTATCGTGAAGCATGTCAACGATTACAATTATTGGAAAATGACTCTTATTTGGATCATACACTTGCCGATGCTGTACTTTCATCACGACCCAGAATTCCACCCAATCGTTCAATGCACGTTGCATTCAATCGAGAAATGCAACGAGAACAACAATACGGTCGAGAGGAATTGAGCGAAACATGAATCACCAACAAAAACATACCTACGATACTATCATGAAGGCTGTCAATGACGAAAGTGGTGAAATATACTTTTTGGACGCGCCTGGAGGTATTGGAAAGACCTTTTTGATTTCGTTGCTTTTGGCAACTATTCGGTCGGTGAGTACTTGGCACTGATGAAGTCTGCAAGTAGTAGACGAAATACGCGTATCTGTCAAAAGATAAGCAATTATAACGGAATTTAAAGGAAATAAACCAACCCACTCAAAGCTCTTCATAAAAGGATTCCATTAAGAGGTTCGACAAATTTAAAGGATAGCTTAACGCAGTCTACTGCAACCATGCGGTCGTGTCATTTATACTAAATCACCATTTTTTTTTTATAGATTTACGTTGTTTATAAACAACCCCAAATCAACATTTGAAAAATTTGAGTCATGGAAAACAGGGAGAGGGTAATCTGAGCTTAAGCACTCTAGTAAAAGTATCGGCGTCTGTCACCACAAAATTGAAAAATAGTTGTTCCAATCGAGCAAAGCAGTGCGATTGGAACAACTTTTGACAGACGTCCATACTTTTACTTAGAAGACTTTAGTGTGAGCTTTGGTGGCAAAATTCTACATCAACTAGATATCAATATGTGCTGTTTGATGCACTGAATATGAAAATGCAAAATAAAGCGAAAATTTGTCATAGTGACGTTTACGTCACTTTGTTGTCACACGGCATTATAGTTTCATTGATATGTGCATTATTAGCAGCAGAACGCAGGTACGAGACAAATGGGAAAATATGCGTAGCTCGATCCACCCCGCAAACGTGGAAAACATTTTTTGCCGCACATACCGACTGACAACCAGCAATCGGAATAGGGGAACCGAGCTCCTCCCCAATAATGGAATGAAACTCACCGATGTTGGATTATTCATATTGAGTTTGAGTTTGGGTGTGAAAAAATGAGTCGCAACCGTTTTGCAATTGGCTAGTGGATTTAGATGAAGGCTTTCACCATCGCTCGATAACGAAATACTTTGAAAATGCACTGGATTCAGTCCTGATTGGAGAGCCCGCCGGTTTTTGCACTATTTGACCAAGCAGGGAGATTTAGTTTGTTTTAGATTTTGGATCAAAAGAATCGAACATCAATGCACTGCAATGTGAGTGAACTTGTCGTGATTTTATTATTCAAACAAAGTCCCGGTGTCTGCCTCTATACAAAGAAGAAGAAGAAGAAAAACTATCATTGTCATGCAAAGCTAAAGCCACCAACCGATAGTATCATGTCCCTTCACCTGTTTCTGCACTTAATCTTCAACAAAGAACACCCAATCTAGGATCTGGGTAAAGTGACACAGCTTATCACACGCTAGCTTTCCGAGTTTCTCCACCATACTCCACTATATAGCTATTTCTATCAGCACAAAGATTGACTAAGCATTTTTTTCCGTTTCTCCATTTTCTTGCAGATCCCACACCTGGAAACACGCTGGGATTATCGACTTCGGCGTGAAAGTTGTCTGGTGAACCTCTATCCGCATCCGAGCACGCTATCGAAGGTAGGTTATCATCGATGGGGTTCAATGGATATTACATGTCAGCCCATTATGGCACAATAAGTGACTTGTGCAACGGCATCGAATCGATCGAGAAGGGAAGACTAGCATTTGCGACAATCGTTGTAATGCAAAAGTCATGATAAGATTATTCGCTGGAAAGAGCGACTTGTGTGCTTCTATGGGGAACGTTGGGTCTTTCTGAGTGGTTTAACTTTTGCCACACACAGACAACAGAAATGGAGAAACTGTATACTGAATCTAGAGAACAGAAATTGAAATTCAAAATTCAAAATTCAAAACATCTAATCGAGAACACTATACAGAAGGAAGGTAATCTGTTTTAGTAAACCAAAATGAAAACACATTTCCTTAAGACATTAAAGAAAGAAATGGAGAACACAAACAGAGGAAATTTTATAAAATGTATATCAAATATTGAAATAAGACACAAGGCTAAACTAAACTTGGGACTTGAAAAATCAAACTGGAAAATGGATGATGATGAAACATAAAGAATGTAAAACATTATGGAACGAAAACAAATTACAACTACAAACAACAACTGGTAAAATAAAATCAAAATTTGCAAAACATAATTGAAATAATAAATTTCAATACCAAATTTCATAATTATTATAAACAATAATAACAAAAAAAGCAGAAAACAAAAAAACTAATGTGAGCAATCAGTACTAAAGGATAGAAATTGTAGGTTACATAGGGAATAGAAATTGGAAAAAAAACCTCAGAAATTGACTAAACAGAAATGTGATAAAAGCAACCTGTTGAAGTATTTCCCCAAAATTTCACGTGAACTTTGTTTAAGCCAAACGAATGCGCCGCACTTTTCGCTTCCTGTTTGCTCGATCCTTACGGGGAATAACATTGTGGCCACTTAGTTAGGCACAGTCGTTCGCTTCTAAAAGCAAAGGCTGCGTGTTGGGACAATCCAGAAGGCCGCGCGGTGTATCAAGCGCACTTAATATTGCAATACAAACAGCACACAACACATGATGCACATATCAGAAAACAGTCTGGAAGCAGAGAACAGTAAAATATGCAGTATGAAGAAAGATCCTTACAACATAACACAACATATAACAACAGCAACTAATAGGTACTTAATTGAAAACAGAAACAGCTTAAACGAAAATCTATGAGGTAAATAAAAAATTACAATACTGAAAAAAGATGATTCAAAATTGCGCTCTGAGACTACAAAAAAAATAAAAACAAAAAACAAATTAAAACAGTAATCAGATTGCAGGAAATAAACCAAAACAAACAGGACACAGAATGTAGGAAATACAATTAGTTAAGTGAAAAAAGATCCACATAAACCACTGCCAAAAGAATTAGGAAACAAATCTCTTTAATGGCAAACAGTAAACAGATATTGAAATAAAATTGAATACAAAAAACCTTTAAGAAAGGGTAGAAAACAACAGCCATAAAACTGTAAAAGATTCAAAGAATTAAAAACCAAAAAAATCACAGCCGAAAAGACCAAGATAACTGATAAAGCATATTATTTTTTTTTAAAGAAAACTTATTTTTTTAAAGAAACTACCCGAAACAAAAAGAAATCATAATAAACAACGAAATTACCATAAATTTCACTGTGAATTTTCTGTTACAATAAAATTTTATGTTGAATTATTGAACCAGTAGATCAGAAATTCAGTAAATCAGAACGTAAACTAAAATCAAATACAGAAACTTAATGAAAAAATATAATCTAAGAAATAAAATTTATGAAACCACTAAGGAGCTGTTCATTAATTACGTAGACATTTAAGGGGGCACTGCAGAAGGACTTTCCTTCTACTTTACAAGCTACTAATTCCAAAAACGAAGTTCCAAAAGATTTAAATTAAAAATTAATCCTGAAAAACAATAATAAAAAAAATCAAACAATCAGGACTTTGATAAATCCGAAATATGAAAATTTGAAAATCAATAAATCAGAAAATCTAAAATTCCACGGATTAAGCTAAACAAAATAAAAAAAATGAAAATCAGAACATAAGAAAATCTGAATATCAGATAAAAATAAATTCAGCAATTCATAATATCAGAAAATAAGAAAAATAGGCTAAACAAGATAATAAAAAACATTAAATTCAGTAATTAAAAAAAATCAATATATAAAAAAATCAATAAAATTAGAAAATAAGAAAATCTGAAACTCAGAAAACCGTAACATAATACATTTCGAAATCTGAAAGTAAGATTTAAAAGAGATAAAATAAGTAAAAATCAAACAATATGAAAATCAGAAAATCAGACAATCCTAATATCACAAATTTAGCAAATTTTAAATAGAAAAATAGAAAAAAAAAAATAGAAAAATCTGAAATTTCGATTTAAAAGAAAATAAGTAAATCAGATATCCAGAGCATCAAACCAGCAGAAAATCGGAAAAACCTTAAAACCATAAATTAGAAAATCAGAAAATCCGAAAACTCGAAAATCTGAAAATCAGAAAATTGGAGAATCAAAAATACGGAAAATAAGAAAATCAGAGAATCAGTTAATCAGAAATTCGGAAAATTATTAAATAAAAAAATCCGAAAATCAGAATATCAGAAAATCAGGAAATCAGAATATCAGAAAATCAGAAAATCAGAAAATCAGAAAATCAGAAAATCAGAAAATCAGAATATCAGAATATCAGAAAATCAGAAATTCAGAAAATCAGAAAATCAGAAAATCAGAAAATCAGAAAATCAGAAAATCAGAAAATCAGAAAATCAGAAAATCAGAAAATCAGAAAATCAGAAAATCAGAAAATCAGAAAATCAGAAAATCAGAAAATCAGAAAATCAGAAAATCAGAAAATCAGAAAATCAGAAAATCAGAAAATCAGAAAATCAGAAAATCAGAAAATCAGAAAATCAGAAAATCAGAAAATCAGAAAATCAGAAAATCAGAAAATCAGAAAATCAGAAAATCAGAAAATCAGAAAATCAGAAAATCAGAAAATCAGAAAATCAGAAAACCAGAAAATCAGAAAATCAGAAAATCAGAAAATCAGAAAATCAGAAAATCAGAAAATCAGAAAATCAGAAAATCAGAAAATCAGAAAATCAGAAAATCAGAAAATCAGAAAATCAGAAAATCAGAAAATCAGAAAATCAGAAAATCAGAAAATCAGAAAATCAGAAAATCAGAAAATCAGAAAATCAGAAAATCAGAAAATCAGAAAATCAGAAAATCAGAAAATCAGAAAATCAGAAAATCAGAAAATCAGAAAATCAGAAAATCAGAAAATCAGAAAATCAGAAAATCAGAAAATCAGAAAATCAGAAAATCAGAAAATCAGAAAATCAGAAAATCAGAAAATCAGAAAATCAGAAAATCAGAAAATCAGAAAATCAGAAAATCATAAAATCAGAAAATCAGAGAATCAGAAAATCAGAAAATCAGAAAATCAGAAAATCAGAAAATCAGAAAATCAGAAAATCAGAAAGCAGAAAATCAGAAAATCAGTTATTCTTTCTTTTAAACTAGTTCGTGTATTTGGAAGGCTCAATCGCGTTAGCTTTACGGAGCTGATATTTCATTGTTCTTTGTTTGTAGCAAAATTCACTTAATTCTATGCCTAGTATGAGTTGGGCCGAATACTCGCGGCTTACTGGAGGTTAGAGAGGTACATTGTCGAAGGATAGGATCAGAGGAGGAGCTTGGGGATAAGGTTTCGTTGTCTCATCAGAACGTTGTCGCCAGTATTCTAGTTTCGTCTGAATCAGAAATTCTTAGCATAATAAAATAAAAAAAATCGGGAAATCAGAAAATCAGAAAATAAGAAAATCCAAAAATCAGAAAATAATAAATCCAGAAAAACAGAAAATCAGAAAATCAGAAATACGGATAATCATAACATCAGAATATGCCGATGTTGGTGGTTTAGTGATAAGCGTGACTGTTTTCTCACCCCAATGGGTTTAGGTTCAATCTCTGCCGAGGTCGGTGGGATTTTTCTGAGGCATAAAAATCTCTGGTCACGTCTTCATTCGAAAGGGAAGTAAAGCCATTGGTCACGGCCCATGTGTGTTTGAATGGGTGCGATATCCTATGCAGTTGAGGAAGCTGCCTTCCTGCACATTTAATTGCCGACAATGGATAGCAATCGATGTCCGTCGGTGATTGGCACTAGATTGCGGAACAGAGGCTGACGTTAAATAAAGGAACGAAAATATAATCAGAACATCAAAAACTGAGAAAATCCGAAAATCTTAAAATAGGAAAATTTTAAAATCAGAAACAACATAAAATCAGGAGATCAGTAAATAAGAAAATCTGAAAAGCAAAATATCAGAAAATCAGAAAATTAGAAATTCAGAATATAAAAAAAATTTAAAATCAGATAATCAGAAAATCAGAAGATCAGAAAATCAGAAAATCAGAAAATCAGAAAATCAGAAAATCAGAAAATCAGAAAATCAGAAAATCATAAAATCAGAAAATCAGAAAATCAGAAAATCAGAAAATTAAAATCTGAAATTCAGAGTATGAGAAAATCAGGAAATTATAAAATGAGAAAATTAGAAAAACCGTAAATCAGAAAATAAGAAAATAAAAAAAACCTAAAATCGAAAAATATTAAAATCAGAAAAGCAGATTATGATTAAATCAAAAGATCTAAAATCCGAAAATCTAAAATCAAAAATTATAAAATCAGAAACTATATAAAATCAGGAAATCATAAAATAAGAAAATCAGAAAATAAGAAAATAAAAAAAAAATCGGGTTCAGAAAATAATAAAATCAGAAAAACAAAAAACATAAAATCCGGCAATCAGAAAATTAAAAAAATCAGAAAAAAAGAATATCGGAAAATCCCTAAATTCGGGATCCAGAATATCAGAATTTGTAGATAAGAAAATCAGAAAATCAGAAAGTCAGAAAATCGGAAAATCGTTAAAAGCAAAATCAAAAAATTGTAATGAAAAATTAAAAATTTGAAAATCAAATTCAGAAATTAAAATAAGAAAACC